CGACCTAAAACATTGTTTATATTTAGAGCAAAAGATCATTTATTAATACAGCAATAGTAAGGACAAATGAACATTATCTAGCGTGCGTTTATGTGATTCCATTTTCAGTCAATGAAACTAGTGATGGGAATTTTTAACCCTACACTTAATGACTCCAAGTTATTAACCGGGAGATAACTCTCTTATCCCCCCACTTCATGGGTAACTATATAATAGTTATCCCCCACGAAGTGGGAGATAACAGCAAATTCACATAAAATTTGATAAATTTATCACCCCGAATGTGGGGGATAAGAGAGTTATCCTTCGCTTCTATATGTGCATGATGTAGATCCTTGTAGTTTAAAAAAAAGCTTATCTCTGTTGTACGTGAAAATGAAATTATGTGAATTCGCAATTCACATATGTGAAATTCAAATTAGCCAATCAGAATTTCACCCCACTCCATAATATTTCAATTTCACATACAACATCAAAAACAAAATAAAATAAAATAAAAACATATTCTCGTTCATTGAATGACTATTTTATGAAAAATTTTCACATTAGCAAGAATATTCATAAATCATTATTTACTGATAAGAATAGTGAGTTATTTTTTTTTGTAATGATAAACTATAACATTATATAGGCACTAACATTCTCTTAAACAATTATGAATTTCGAATCTGTTAATTCTGAAATTGACACCATAGACAATAATTCTTTGGAAGAAACTGAGGTACTTTTAATAAAGTCAATTCTTTTAATATATATATTTTAAGTTTTTAAATTTACATTTTTTTTTTAGTCAAATGTTTATATACCCACAAACAAAGAAATTGAAGATACCATAAATTATGGCGAAGTTAAAAATACTACTCGTAATACACGATTCTGGTTGAAAGTTCTTACAGATATTAGAACCAAAATGGGATACAATTATGACATTGGTGAAATTACTGTTATAAATCAATTACAAGAAGAATTGATTCAATTTTTTCAAGCATTAAACAAAAAAGACAAATCACCATATGCACCAACATCAATAAAAAATTGTTTGCTGCAATATGTAGGTATCTACGGGACAATTCAAACATTTCTCCTGTTCCAGATCTTTATGATGAACGTATGTTTCCAAGACTTCACAAACTTTTAGATGGAAAAATTAAAAAAATACAAGATTTAAGCATAATTAAACAGAAAAAACCTGATCCACTTGAATATGACGAAATTTATCAAATTTTAACACATCATGAGTTAAATAAAGACACACCATTATCATCCACTTACAAAGCCTATTTCTGGTTATGTTTCTTATGTGGTTTTCGTGGTGGGGATGCTCAAAGATTAAAATTGGTAAATGTGGAATTAACAGCTATTAATGGATTGACAATTACAATTCCTCGTGAAAAAAAAAATGCTGGTGGTTTTAAAGATTTAAATAATTCTGGTAGGGTTATAGACATTCCACCTGACAATAAAAGAAAATTAACACCTGTCTCAGATATCATCAATTACATATCTAAAAGACCTCAAGGGTTTAAATGTGAATTTTTTTTCCTTCGTTGGTCTTCTAAGTCAGGTAAATAGCTACTATACATATCTGATTCTATTTTATATCTTTAACAAATGAACAATTAATATCTATATATTTATTTATTTAAAGACTTTATCAATAAAGGTATTTGGTTTATTGATGCTCCTTTAGGAAGACATTCACATGAAAATATGATACGTAAGATTTGTGAAACCACTGGAATAGATTTAGACCTAAAACATATTACAAATCATTCAATAAGACGCACAACTGTACAACACCTAACACAGCTAAATGTAATGAATGAAAAGATTATGTCAATTACTGGTCATAGGTCAACAAGTGGTATTGCTGCTTATCAAACATTCACTAAGCAAATTATGCATGAAACTATAAATAAAATGATTCCTGATAAATGTGATGATTTCAATTCCAATCCTGGTTCAAGTAAGTATCAAAGATGTAAATAATATAAATATTACTGTATTATTTGAGCTAATTGATTTATTTCTATAGATGCATCATCATCATCACCAACATCAACACCATTATCAGATAAGACAAATTTAAATCATGATGAACAATCTTGTTTGCCAAAAATTTCTATAAAAAATTGTAGTAACATTCAAATAAATTTTCAAATCACACCAAAAGATTAATTTTCTAATATTTATAGTCATCATGTTATTAAATTTATTATAATTATGGCTCCTATTAATATTGTATTAGGAAAAAAATTAATAAATATAAATAATAAATGTATATGTTGTGAAAATGAAATCTATGTGAATTTGCAATTCACATATGTGAAATTCAAATTAGCCAATCAGAATTTCATATCCAAACACCACCCCAAAATTTTAGTTATAAATTTTGATTTCACATAGTTTCAATATATATAAATAGTGTAAATTTCCGGAGTGATAACTAATTAAATTTGCGGGATGATAACTAATTAAATTTCTGGTATGTTATTGATAACCACAAGGATCTACATCATGCGTCATTATAGAAGTGTGGGATAATATTTAATAACCACTTGTTAATGCATTTTGAGTGAGAGTTATTAACCAAATTTGGCAAATTCGGAAAAATAATTATCAAATTTGGTTAGCATGCACACTCCGCATATATACTGAATTTTTATGAACATACCATACATAGATTCCAATAAAAGATCTGCAAGTTTGTGTTTTTAACACTTAATAATAAGTCACCAATAGAGAGTTATTAAGTACTTAATAACTCGGTCATTTTTCAAAATAATTTTTACGCCCATCACTAAATGAAACCTTATTATTATCATCATATAAAGAAGAAAAAAAATCTCAAATTACGTAAATAATTTCCTTCGAATTCACCAAATGGTTAGATAGAAATAACAACATTATTATTGTTTTCTTCCATTTATTTGTTAAATGTTTTTTTAAAATACGAATTATATTGCCTATAAATAAATAAAACTCCGTTTATGTTTAGAGTAAAAGAATGATTTATGATTTTGGCGTACATCAATGGTAGTATATCTTGATGGTTAAGATATGCAAAGTTACATTACATGAACAAGAAATTAAAATTAATTCGAATTAATGTAAATATCAATGCTGTGCGTGGATTTTGAAATTTAAATTCAACACGGAAAGAACAAAAACATGCGCATGAAATTCGAATTAGCCAATCATAATTTGTAATAATAAATTTCAAATTAATAGAAGTCTGGTGTGCGTTCATGTGATCCCATTCTCAGTGAACCCTTTCTTATTGTTATTATCATATTAAAGAAAGATCACTCTCTAAAATTTCAAATTACCGTAAATCTCTGAAATAATTTTCTTCGAATTCACAAAATGCTTAGATAACAATAACAATATTATCAATTATAACTATTACCTAATTTTATTTGTGAAAACGAAAATTTTAATCGAGGAAATTTCAAAAAAAGAACAAACGGTTTATGATGAGAAAAGGTGATTTTTTTTTTAGTAACCTACCAAGAGTAGAAGAAAAGCCAACAGTTTATTATTACAAGTTTTATTTTCAATTCACCTATATGTAAACCTATAATTTATCTTCCTGTCTTTTGTTATGGAAACAAAAGAAAGTTCAATCAAAGTTTTTTATCTTTTTTATTTGTCAATAATTAATTTTATAGTTAATTATCATAATTATTTTTCTTTATAGATTCATTAAAAATTTTACATTTATTTTTATAATTCAATTCAAAAATTTTTTTTATAAAAAAGATTGTTTACAAATTTAAATCCTTTTTATATACAGTTAACCCTCCATAAGTCACCCTCCCAAGCTTGGGGCTTAAGAGATAAATACATCCCTCTATATTTACTTTACTTAGCTCTGTACATATAAAACCAATCTTTATAGCAAAATTAGATGAGCTTATTTTGGTGCATACAAGTCTGATCAAATGCCAATTGAAGAGTTTCTCAATAATCCAGGAGAAGAGGAAAATATGTGAAGTTCATAAACTTATTGAAGAATTTGTTGAAATATATAAAATGACTAGAGGTACCTATTGACAATAATGAAAATGATGATAGCATTGAACTAATAATAGTAAGTGCCATTTCTAAACATCCAGTATGTCACGTGCAACCAATACATCCCTCCAATAAATATATGCTCTCGCTCATTCACAAGGGAAATGTACTTATGTAAGGTTAACTGTATATGGACGTGAAACAATACTATTGATGATTCTAATAACCATTTATATGGCAAGTTAATATTAATATCTCAAGGAAGAAAACATAGAAATAAACACTTAAACAACAAACAATGTTGATATTTGATTCTAGGAAACAAAAAATCAATTTTAGATTAAAACATCACATTCATTCCTTCTAAAAAAAAGATTAATTCAATCACCAAATCCAAAGGATAAAGTGTAACGGAGGAATTCAAAGTCCATGAATTTTATTGAAGCTGCATTTGAGTTCTTTGCTTTTTTTCTTTTTCGAATGATGTCAACTTAACTGAATTTAAATGATAAAATGGTTTAGTTGTTACAATTATAATGAAGTTTAATTAATAGTTTGCTAAAACCCATGCCTAAAACCAAAATTATTAAAATGACCAAAGTTCAACAACTTCCACTTCAAATTTACTTTCTTTTCGCAATCAGAAATCAAGTTACTGAAGCAACAAATGATACCCTTGTAATCACAGAGTTCATTGACCTTACTAATCCATCATTTGGTTCCATTGTTCAACTACAAGCTAATACATCAATGAATAATAATATAGAAAATCAAATTTGGTTGGGAAATATGGTAAAATAGTAATAGTATCACGGGAAATCGATAAATAAATTGAAAATGATTTACGAAAGTTGTACAGAAAACTGATCAAGTGTTCAATCACCAATAAAAAAATAATTGACTCACGGAAAATACTCAAACAATGAAGAGATAAATATTCTAACATTCTAAAATGTAACAGACCTTTAATTCTTAGATTTAATTTAAATGAAGGAATTTAAACGATTGGAAATAAACTTAAAATAATTCTACACAGAAGGTTTAAGTAATACATTTAAATTAGAATAAATTAGAATTTTACCAGGAGGCGCCTTTGATAAGTATAGTTGTATACAGTATATTTCTTTTAATTTTATTTTCTTTATTTTTACTTAGCTTAGACCAATGTCTAAGAGGAGCAAGCCCTAGCTAAGTGTGGTCAATCCAGGAACTGAACCTAAAATACAACAAAGCAAAGTCCGACGAACTGAGGCTAAAGGATGAAAGAGTAAATCCCAACACACCGAGGCGAATAATATAAATACATTATAAATATATTGGAGACATGCCGGCTCAGGCAAATAACAAAGAACTGCTGAGAAAATGTTACCGGAGGGGGATAAACATCATCCCCGTGGGTTAATAGACAAAGAGCTATTAATACCATACACATCACATAAGCAATTGCAATTTACATTAAAAAAATACCAAGGAGCACTCGGATACAACTGTATAAATTTAAGTAAAACACTACACAGTGAGTCTCGGTATAGCGGATAATTTGGGCAATTAGAACAAAAATTTCAAAAATCCGTTATACCGAGATT